CTTCTCCTTCGTTTTCGGCTTCTCTGCCTTCATTTTCTTCCTCAATTTTTTCTTCGTCTTCTTCATCCTCATCAACTTCAGATTCTGCGTTTTCAGCTATATCTGTCTCATCTGCCGTTTCTTCAATAGGCGCAGCTTCTGTCCATGGATCGTAGTAGGGTAACATCCTACTCACGTGGACTGTATCCTTTTTTTTTGCTTCCAATCTTTTGTACCTCGTAATTCACTTCTCCCATTTTTCTAATTAGGTACTTTTTATGGTCCAAACCATCTTAAGAGTAACTTCTCGATTCTTCCAACCTTTCTAATTGGTATGAACACCTTAACTTTGTCTCCAACTACAAAATCTAATTCTTTATGTCGTTCGTCGAAACGTCCCTTATCTTTTTCTTGTCTTTTTCGTATATTTTCTACTGCTATGACTCTTATCAAGAGTGCCTCTTCTCTAATTTGCAGAGCATCTGTTTTGTTGTCAACTTCCAACAATGCAGCTTCTGCTGGTAGTGTGGGTTCCCTTGCATATGTTAACATAAATGGGCTAAATCTTGTTGTGTTATACGCAAATGTTATAAATGGTAGATAGCTACACCAGTCCGTTTGTTGTATGTTACAACATGGATAACATGTCAGCTATTGTTTTATTTAGCCTTTCAGTGAGACCATTACAACAAGGATGGTATTCGGTTGTAAACTGGCTTCTTACTCCCATTAATTTTCCTAATTCCCTTACTAATTCCTTTTGAAAGACTTTTCCTCTGTCGCTGAGCAGATTTCGTGGCATCCCGTGTATCAAGAATACTCTTTCCAGTAAAAACTTCTCTACTGGCCCTGCTTTTCCATTTGGTAGGGCTGCTGTAATGGCGTATCTTGATGCATAGTCTGTAACCACTACTGTCATCGTTTTTCCTTGGTTACTTCTTCTAAATGGGCCTAAAAGATCAATTCCGATTTTGTCGAAAATTGTTCCCACCGGTATTGGTTGTAACATCCCTGGCGTTTTTCTGTAAGGTTGCCCCTTTCTAGCTTGACAATCTGGGCATCCCTTAACGTACTTTTCGATGTCCAGCATTCCGTCCCAAAAAAATCTGTTTTTAATTTTATTCGTTGTTTTGCTTAAGCCCAAATGTTCACATGTTGGCGAAGCATGGAGTTCCCACAGAATTTCACTTCTCATTGATTTTGGAATCACTAGAACTTTCTCTAAGCCTCTTTGCGTTTTATTAATTTTATACAGTAGGTTATTTTCGACTCTAAAATTCCTTGCCCTTTTTCGAATTCCTATGTTGATGTCTGGGTCGTCTAGATTCTCTACTGCATTTCTAAGTTGTCTCACCTCTTGGTCATTTTTTGTAACGTGCACATTTCCTCTGTTCTCAACGCAAAAGTCGGAAGTTCTTCCTGTCCTTCATTCTCTTTGATTTCTGGTTGGAGTACTGGGTTGCGTGACATACAATCAGCATCTCTATGCGTTGAACCTTTCTTATAAACAATTGTATAGTCGAATTCTGCTAACTTGAGTGCCCACCTAGCTAAGCGTCTGTTGCTTTTCTTTATTGAATCCATCCGTGTCCAGCAAAGCGCGTCAGGTAGCTTAGGGCTCAGACCACTCCTAATAGCTCCAGTTCGCTGATTGAATAGTTTTTTCGCTGTTTGACAGACTACGACTTATGAAAGCTATTGGATGTTCACTTCCTTCGCTTTCTTGTAATAGTACTGCTCCGATTCCGCATTTCGATGCATCAGTGTGTAAGATGGTTTCTTTATTTGGGTCAAAAGGCCTTAGTACTGGTGCTGAAGTGAGTTTGTCTTTGAGAACCTTGAATGCTTCTTCCTGTCTGCATTGGAACTTTGCGCTCTTTTTCGTAATATCATGTAATGGCCTGGCAGTTGAAAGTTACAAAGTCCTAGAAAGCTCTGGACGTCTTTGATCGTTCTTGGTGTGAATCTCTTGACGCAATTTATCTTTTCCTCATCTGGTAGGATTCCTTTTCCGCTGACGTGAAAGTCTAAGATTTTAATTTCTTGCTTCAAATATTCGCATTTCCCTGGCTTGAGGGTCAAATTTGCTTGTCGCAGTAAAGTTCGCCTTACGAGTCTAGCACTATGGATAAAAAAATTGCAATATTGCCTATTTGACTTCCAATAGAAAATACCTTAATATTTATCTATGTTACACACCTACATTCATAAGGAAAACGTAATATTTAAAAACGCTGCGCGCACGCCTATGACAGGCAGCATAAAGCTCGAAATGAATGGCGTTATTCCCCCTTGCCCTTCAGACGTTGTAGTGCTAGACTCGTAAGGCGAACTATAGTTCAAAAACCTTTTTTAGTTTTTTCAGATGTTCTCCTATAGTTTTGGAAAGGGTAATTATATCGTCCATGTATATTTCCTTCCATTTTAGGTCCCAAAAGACTCTATCAGCTAGTTCTTGGAAGGTTGCTGGAGCGTTACATAGTCCGAAGCTTAGTACGCTGAATTCGTAAGATCCATGCCCTTGTGCTATAAATGCAGTGTATGGTTTAGAGCTTTCTTCGACAGGTACTTGCCAGTAACCCGAAAACGTATCTAAGGTGCTGAAGTAGGTAGCTTCTCCTAAATATGATAGAATATCATCGATTTGGAGTAATGAGTACGATGATTTCTTTGTCACACTATTAATTTTTCTGTAGTTTCCGCAAAATCTGGTTTTCTATCTTTTTTCTTGACTAGCCCATGGTGAGTGACAAGGACGAATCACACCTGCCCTCTAGCATTTCCTGAATTTGTTCATTAATTATTTGCCTCTCTTTCTGTGATACTCTGTATGGTCGACTTTTTATTGGTTTGACCTTCTCTATTTCAATTTTATGTTCAGTCATATTTGTCTTGTCTATGTTCTTCGCTGATTTGACGAAAATGTCATTGTATTCGAGAAGAAGTTCTTGAAGTGCCTGCTTGCTTCTTTCGTCTTTAATACTTTCTATCTTGTGATCTAATGTTACTCTGTCACTATTATTATTATTTATTTCTTCCTGTATTGAAAAATTATATGAGTGTTTTTCTCCCAACCGTGCTATTGTGGTTCCCTCAAATAATGCCACTGGGATTTTTGTTTTTGCTTCTAATTTAATAACAAGGTTGTTTTCGCCCCCAAAAATATGTGATTTTATATTGATCTGTTTTTTTGCCAATCCATCCAGGTTGTATTTACAACTATAGCCCATATTTTCTGTCATTTTGCTCGCATCTCCCTTGATTTTCAGTTCTACCATTGTCTCCTCACCTTTATTGTGTAATCCTTTGCTGCTCCTATTTTGTATTCTTATTTCCCTGCTTTTGTGTATATTTGTAGTAATGGCGTAACTTCTTCTGCTGGCTTTGGTGTACTTTTTGCTGCTCGTTGGTCCCTAAATATACGGATTTTAATTTTGGTGTCTTTGGAAATATAATAAAGCATCTGCTTAATTCTGAACGATTCTTTATCTAGTCATCTAGTCCCCATCCTTTTCTAGGAATTAGTATTTTTCTGCCATTCTTTTGTAGTACCGTTTTTCTCAATTCTAGTAGACATTTGAAAATAGTTGAGAAATAGTTTTTATTCTCAAATTCACAGGGGAAGTTCAGCAACAAATTCATAAAGTTTTGTCTGTGATTTCATACATTGTTTTTCTGCTTCAAGCTTCTTTCTCCACTCTTGTGGCAAAACTGTGTTATTTCAATAGTATTTGAAATTCAGTAAACTGGACTGCGACTGGAAAATCGCGCAAACAAATTGAAATAGAAATGAAAATGATACCATAAGGTTGTCGAAACACACAAAAGATATTTCCACTCACCTGGGTTTTCTTATAAGCTGTGTGTATGTACGGGGATCCCCTGGAAAACGGTTCTCCACAACCACCAACGTTTCAGCATTAGTGTTTCACAAGGCAAGATTTCTTGTCTTGCTGGGCCTATTCTTGTCTTGTCTTGCAAAGCAACACAAGAAAGGGAATTCACTCTTGTCTTGCCCGACTCTTGCAGAAAAAAATCTTGTCTTGCAAACAAGATTTCTTGCAATTTCTTGTTCTTGCATTATTTGTTTAGTGACGTCATAGCAAGAGTCTTGTTGCAAGATTCTTGCTGCACGACTCTAACGTCACTATTTTATGCACTACAATGCTAACAGACCTTAAAAAAAATTCGATTTGATTCTTTGATGATTGAAAACGAAAAGGCCTTCATATTGAGCTTAAAATTCAATATTGTGTGTGCAGTGTCGTTGCCCATCACGACCAAAAATTTTCCTAGCCATACTTGCTGCAAGAGCTATTAGAAACAACCAACAAGCAAGATTGCAAGAGTCTAGCAGAATAATTTCTTGTCTTGCTTGGCAACTTCTTGTCTTGTCTCGCTTTGCAAGACAAGAAATTTAAGAGAGTTTTGTCTTGTTCTTGCAGCAAGAACAAGACAAGAACAAGAAATTTACAAGAATCTTGTGAAACACTAATCAGCATTGACTTAAGGCACTCAAGGTCCCTTTTTAACGGCACAAGACATAGACTTTTCGAGCGTAAAACACGGAACCGGTAAAATTGCAACGTGCATATGAAGCACCATTTATCTAATGTCGAATCCAAATCTTCAACGGCTGTCTGCCTCGGTCGGCGCAGGGTCGTAGAAAATACACTCCTGTGTGTTTTACGCGAAATTGACATTTAAGTAATTCTTCAATAAGAATGAGAAGAAACCAAATTAATAAATAATGTTGCGTTAACAATTTCCATGCATCAATTTCTAGGAATTACAGTAATTTTGTGGAAATTGTTTTAGATCGTGGTGTCGACCCATCGGATTTCTTTGTGTATGTGTTGATTCTGATCAATAGAAAATTAAAACAATGGAAACAAGTGATGGCCAGTCCATCCGAATACATGAATCAGATAAAATTTCAATCTATCTCATTTCTCTTTTCTAGCTCTAGCATATTCAATCTAAGGTTTTTTCCATAATATTTACACCTAAATCATTTTTAGGTACTTTGAAATTATCACCCAGGAGTCACCAGGATGAAATTACACGGTTATCACCCTCGCCGACCAGCAACACTCATATGCATCCGAATTTCCTCTACGGCAAAATTTTACCGGACGGAAGGCCGAATTTTCTCACCGACTACGGATTCAATTTTCAAAATTACGGTCCTCTAGGCACCAATCACAGCAAATGTTGCGTCACAGGCCCGTTTGCAAACGATCTGAATTTTGGACACTTGTATACTATCAGCAAAGCTGAAAAGGTACGTACATTTAATAATGCAATTTGTTTCCACAGTTTTCAGCTATAAAGGCATTCAAAAATTACTTAGTTGCAGTGTTTTCTTTTGCTTTTTATAGGAAGAACGAACCTACGATGAACCTTACACAGGTGACCTAAGTAGAAGATCATGGTTCTGTTGTCCAGGCTCACAACCGCGAGTAGATTGTGAGCAACCACCCCTACTCCATGACAGTAAATCACCAACCACTCCATCAGATATTATCACCAAAGCTCCAGGTCACATTCCTATCTGTAATGGAACTTGTGTATGTATTTAGTATCCAGTTTCAAATGGAAAAGATTTTCTATTTTTAACATAGCAAAAACACAGCTCTATTTTTAAACCCCTGAAAGGGTATTTTAAATATTTAAAGGCAGTCTTTGGGTCATAATGTTCCGTGTGACATTGATGGTGTTTACATCCGCTTTTTAACAGGTGCGGCCTTTTGGTTTTAAAGCGACGAGCGATAAAATTTTGCAAGAGCTTTTACATGAGTTTCCAATAAAACATTTGCGAAGAACAGATAATTTTTAAAATAATTTTTGTTTTTTGTAATGAAGTTGCAAGGTAATTAAATAGAAAACCATATAATTTTCTATTTAAAATTAATTAAACATCCACCAAGTATGGGTGTGCATTTAAATCGCCTTTCTTCAATCTTTGACTAATGTTCTCCAGCAAAACTTGTTTGTAATTGATTTATTTACTTTCCCAAGACACTTAAAAGAAAACACGAGTTGAAAGATTTTCCTGCAATTAAACGATGCCATTTCATTATTTTCGTCATTAATTTGCCATGCCAAGTCGTTTTCTCCGAGGTCATTAAAACTCTAAATTTAGTAACGAACTTGGTTTGGCGGCACTCGCAGTAATAAACCCTATTAGGGCGTCCCTAGAATGCGACCAGAGACTATCCGTAAACAGAACAATTAAAAGCACTATGTTAATAAAGCTAAGAATAAAATTTGTTTTTATGATTATACAACGCATACATTGTTAGTATGTAGTTTTTTATTGTCCAATATTGTTGTACGTCCATATAGTAAGATATCGATTGTGAGAGTGGGTGAAAATCCTAATCAAAATTCCTAAAGCGTCCTCCTATTTCAGCAGAAACTAAAGCTACGCTATAATGTAGCTGTGTCACATCCATTTCCAATTTCCTGAACCAAATGAGCTTATCGGCTTGCAAATTCTATTGCAGAAAAGTTGAAAATGGTGAATTAATTTACTTGCACACAATGAAAATTTCTTGAGCTAAGTTTTCTCCTGTTCAGAGTTTTTCTTTGTGAAATGAGCTAAATGTATCGATTTATTACTGATTTTTAGTATGTTCTGGGATATGTGTGCAATTGGTATTTGAAAATGAATACTAATTCATGGAGTATATAAATATTTTACCAATCAAATCTATATATTATGGCTGACCCGAGCATCCAATTTTAAACATTATCCTAAAATCATTGGACCTACATAATGTAGTTTTAATGTGTCTGTCAAATTTCAGACCCCAAATTTAATTTTTGATATCGAAAGCTCCCGGAAGCTTTTTGACTGACATCCAACATCACAATGCAATAAAATTATCTGATCGTCTGGATTTTCGGTCCAGGCCAATACCGATTTTCTTGTCAATGAAAAATTCAGAGGAAATATTTTGAAATCAAAATATAGATTCCGACTAAATTGAAATTTTGCACTGAGTTGAATTGCATCAAACGGAAACGTATTGAATTTTCGCGTTCACGAAGGATATTGTCAAGCGTTTTGGGGCGCATCGTATGGACTCATCGAAAAATGAAAGTCCAAAGCTTTTCACCCCTGGCAGTGCAGAAGAGTGGTAGGAAGTTTTCTCGGAAGTTTTTCTGATGGCAAGAATTACCGAAAAATACCTTTTTTTATAGTAGGGATTGGAAATGCATTATGCACACCTAGGGCATTGATGTTTGGGCGCCCTAGGGAGTGTGGGACTCGCACCCGCTAAAACGCTTCCCCTACTCTTCCCGGGACCGCCGTTAAGCATTACTTCGGGGGATTTAGCCTCTATGCCACTTCACTCTCTCGTCGTTGCTCCTCTGTCTCTTTTCGCTTCATTATTCGTCTCAACATTTCCAAAATTGCCTCTAGATACTCTTCTCTTTTCATGAGTAAATCTCCAACTTATTTCGGACCCGCACTTTTCCGCAGCTTCCTCCCTAAGGTCTTGAGCCACGATGCACACGAAGATTGTGTGTCCTCTTGTCCGCAAAACCAGCACTCGTCCGTTTCCGCTTATCTAATCTTCTTTAGGTAGGTCCCGAAGATTTCGTGGCCTGTCATCGCTTGTGTTGTGTAATAATCAGTTTCCCCTCCCTTCCTGTTGATTCAGCCACGCACATCCTTAATGAAGTGCGTTGCGATCCCATAATATGCTTTTCATCTTTCCTGCCAGTTGTTGAAGTGCTGGTCCCTCGCATCACCTCTACTTTGCTTTCCTTCATTGCAAATTTTGCATCTTTCCTTTATGGCTAGGTCAGGTCGATCGGTAGTAATCCCGCCAGCACTTGCGTCGCAGCCATCGAGGCCGTTCTGTAGGCAGAGGTGATTCCAATCTTCACCCCTTCTAAAGTCCTGAGGTGATTTTTATATTTTATCGCAGACTTCCATATCGGTGCAGCGTACAGTATTGCCAGAGGTTATTATAACGTGCAGTTGGACACAAAATGTGCAGTACGAAATAGCTATTTATACAATAAGTTGCGAAATGAGCGTCTTTTAGGCACCCGACGTGAAAATTGTCCAACGAGGCAAAGCCGAGTTGGACAACACGTCGAGTGACTAAAAGACTTCGTTTCGTAACGTATTGTATACAAGATTTTTTCTACTGGCGTTTCATAATAAAAAAACACAATTTTATTTCAATGTTTGTCACCTGCTTTTGCTTGACACCTTTCATGGTGGTGACTAATATTCATAATAAATACAAAACAAAATTCAAATCTGTGTTTAGTGTGTTTTTTATTTCTGAACAATGAATGACACTTTTAGGCACTAGTGCTTAAAAGTTACTTTCACGCACTTGAAAGTCACTTTTACGCACTTGAAAGTTACTTTCACGCACTTGAAAGTCACTTTTACGCACTTGAAAGTTACTTTTACGCACTTGAAAGTCACTTTTACGCACTGAGTGACTCAAAGTCACTTTTACGCACTGAGTGCTTAAAAGAATGTCGTTTCAAAACTAAAATGACAATCGAAAAGTTGCTATTATGAAACGTCAGTAGAAAAAGTATATTGTGCGGTGGGAAATTAAAATCTGTGTAGTTATTTTTTCATTCATTACGAACAGAAAACTTAAAACCAAACAAGCTAAAAATAATATAGTTGATATATTATAATATACATGTGAGAATACAATAGACTATCATTACGTTAATTCTAAAATTTCAGGCTATTTTTTCCCTCAGAACCATCTCCAAACTCTTCACTTGTCTCATCCTCATCATTAGCAGTGGCTTCAGGATAATTAAATACCTTTGTACCATCTTTGTTGTTTGGCATGTGCAGTTTCCTTTAGACCCTGTGCTGACGCTATTATTGAACCAAACCATAATGGCTTGTCGAGGATACCATTCATTTTTAGAATCTACTCACAAGCTACTCCGAGTTCGAGATAGGCTTTTTATTATATTGCTGATTGCTAGTACTTATAAGTCTTTCCACATCCGCATTAGGTATGCAATTTAGCATTCAAGACCAGTGCGAAAATTTTAGTTGCATCATGAAATTCTGAAGGACCGTTGAAAAATTTAACCAACTCAGAATTAAGAGAGCGTTAGATTCTGCAGCTTTTTTATTTGTGGATGTTCTAGTATTTCGTCATAATCTAACTTGAATTGAGTTAAACGAAGATCTTTCCCCTAAATACGACGAACCCCTTCAATATACACTGCGCTTGAAAATTCTAAATTCTTGAATGGTTTTATCACTGATAGCTTATCAACATCTATTCCATACCTTCCGGTGAGCAATTCACGAGAGATTTAACTACTTCCATGTTGACGGTATCATACCTTCTCTTCTCTGTGCAGTGGAAAAAAAATCTTAGAATAACCTCTGAGTATTGCAGAGGTCACTGCGCTAGCTACAATCCTTCTCTTGTTGCTTTTTGGTCCTCCAACCTTTGGCATTATCCTCATAAGAAAGTTCAGCATCTTGTTGGCCTTTTCTGCTATTCTGTTGACATGTGTTGTCATCCTCAGGTCCTTGTCAAAATATACTCCTAGGTACCTTACCGCCCTCTGTATACTCTCTTACCGCGCTCTGTATTATGTGGTTATTTAAATTGATTTCGGCCTCTAGCACCTTCCTTCTCCCAGCCATAATGAGCATCTCCGTTTTCCTAGTTGCGACAGATAATTCATTTCTGAGAGCCTTTCAGTCACCCTCGTGGCTGCGTACTGTGCTTTGTCATCTAGTTCTGCAGCAGAGAGGTAAACAATGGTATGTCCATAAATAAAAAAGTTCAGTAAAGAAGAAAACAAGTTGAAATGCTAACTCACTTTGAAATTTGACTTATTTTTATACACGGTACCAAGCTGTTATTATGGTATGCTACTTAACTTAATTAGCAGTTTTGATAACCAATACCATTATTTCAGCCATACTTACCTGTATCTTGATTTTGGATTTATGACTTTTTACCTCAATTTGAAAAAACAGGTAATCATTAAAATAGAAGTCTTATCTCGAGTCTTATATTGCAAAACCAGTTTTATTGCTTATCGCTAACATGATTAATGAACACAAAATACTTAAAAAAATTTAATTATTTTCAAGAAGATGTCCTAGACAAAAAAGATTATGATTTGTACAAGGCAAAATTTATTCGCTGTCTTCTTCATCGGAACTATCTTGACCTTTTGTTTTACAACAATATTTTTCAACCTAATCAACATTGCTACACGCTAATTTATATATTGAAGAAAAGTTAATCAAATAAGGATAATAAAAAAAATATATATATATTATATATATCGATTTAGTTTATTAATTATGTTTCTTTAATAACAGGTTTGGGGTCAGCGGGGTGTAGCAAATAATGCCTAGCTAGTCCGGTGTGAGTTCGAGCGCCACTGGCTCGACGCAGCTTAAGCCAGAGAGCTTACTGGTTTTCAGTACTACCCCAAAACCCTAATTAGACAAACACACAATTCTTGTGAAACAAAACTCCCTGAATATTTAATTTAAGTAATAATAGATGATTCTGTTTAGTAGTAATTAATA